TTTTGTAACGCTTCAATTACTTCCTTTAAGCTGTGACGATCCTTGTAATTGAAATACGTTTTTGTTGTAATCGACTACAAAATTACCCGTTACAATTTCTCCCAATTGTTTTTTTTCGGGGGGGGGGGGGGGGGGGGGGGGGGGGGAGTAGATGACTCGGTGTTGCAACCTCCGCAATCGTTTGTTCCCCAAAGTTTGTCGGAAAATTCCTTAGATCTCCCTAGATTTCAAGAAAATGTGTTAATTTGCGTTAATATTGAGATTATCGTTAGGGAGTAGCTTATAAGAATAGATTCCTGTAGTTGGGCGGCGGTTTAAAGATTACATTTGCGTCGTGAAAACCTTTTTACATCACTAAACTCTGTTACTCAGGCCTTGTGTAGCCTCCCCCCCCCCCCCCCCCCCCCCCCCCAAATCGCTGTTGTTGTCACTAGGGATTATCTCTGGCCCCAACAATATACATAGAAGCCTCGCTCCCGCTACCGGCCGGCACAAGGAGAAAAAAGGGAAGGAACGTGTCTTGAAAGTCCTCTGATACCCATTAAGAACAATCCCTAGATGTGAAAAAAGGACCCTTTGTCCCTAAACGATTACCCCCAAAAATCGCTATGTCTAGAAAAAAACACCGTAAGGTTGGCATGTGCTGGAGTCACTCAGCTCTGGACCACTTCCCTATGCTTCGTTCCCTGGGTAAATTTTTTTTGGTACACCCGAGACTACGTTTGGGTATGAAAGCTGACGTTACCCGCCTCTTGTAAGTAATTTATTTTAACCGCGCTTTTTTTTAATTTTTTACAACAGCGATTGGGTGTTTTGGAGTCGCTCCCTCAGCTCTAGGGAAAAACGGTCAAGGCTTTCTTTTTTTTTTTTTTTGAAGCGACTGAGCGCGAGATTTAAGGATTATGCTATCGTAATCAACAAAAAAAATTGAATGAAAAGTAACGTGGGAAGTAATTGATTACTTTAGAGTATTTTTGCGATCACTTTTTTGAAGGTGTCATTGTAATTATAATTGGTTACATTTTACAGCGAAGTAATTGTAATTGTAATAGGTAACTTTTTTCAGTAACGTGTATAAGTCTGCCACTAGGGAAATTTGGCTCTGTATTTAGGGGTGCCACACGCGGTCGAGTTGCTCCGCGGTAGGGTGAACTAGAACACCTTATCCCTTCTAGAACCCTTGTCGAACACCTTATCCGTGGCTCCTGAAGTTGTCAGGCTTACGGTCGCAGTGGTGTTTACTCGGCTTTCTCGTGGCAGCATGCCATGCCTTCCATGAAAAAGAAGAAAACGGAGCTGTGCGATTGAGGATACAAGTCGGGTGGAGATGAGCTATTCTTTTTCGAGCACTGAGAAACCGTGGCGCGTTTCTCAAGTGGGCTCTTGCGATCCCAATCGCGGACAAGCCTCTCGCAGAGAACTTCGGCTTATGCGAAAGGCATTTTGTCTTCAGGTGGGTACATCTGTACACACCTGTAGGCAAAATGAAAGTGAGTAAACGTGTTCTTTATTCCACTTTTCCTAATTCTAATTGTGCGGACGATGTTTTTATTATTGATATATTAAGTGATTTTTATGAAAGCTTCGAACTTTGTGCTACCAGTGATGTAAATTACTCGGTTTTGTTTTGTGAAAACTTAGTTAAAACCTGTATCCAGCGATCTGTGCCTTTTAGTAAAAAAAAAAAAAAAAAAACATATCGGCTCTATGGAAAACACCAGAAATATAGAATCTCCTGCGTCGTATAGGTAGACTCAGGGGTGGCAAATTTAGTGATGATCCTGTGAAGACTTTGCAATTCAAAAGATATAATAGGACCTTCGACTTTAAAACGAATTTAGTGAAATATTTTATTTTTGTGTAACACTGCCCAGTGTAATGAGATGCAACCCATGTAAATTTTGCAAGTTAAGTTTGCCTGACAGTTCTACTGTTAATTTCTTTATGGTTAATGACGAAGCCACTAGCAAACCACAGGTCATTGCCACTGCTTTCAATAGACCATTTTACGAAAAGACCGATCTCACCAAGCGTTCGGCGCATGCGTGACACCGCCATAACTTTAGTTCACAGGAGGCAATCGGCAGTGCATGAGAGCTCGTGCCGTCTCGTGCTTTACACGCGCAGAACTCCAGCGAGGTTCCCGCACGTGCAGAAAGACAAAAGTTCCCTCGATGCATTGCGGCAGCGGTGGCGTAGTCAAACTTGCTGGTGAGATCGGTCTATTACCCAAGCTTCAAAAAGGATGCCGGTAACGTAGGTACACGCGCTCCGCGTGCAGGCGTCTTCAGCTTTCACTGTTCGAAAGCAAAAACTAAAAGCAAATGGCACATCGAACGCGCCATCAACGGACGCTTTGTTTTGGTTATTTACTTCGAATTTTTTCTATAGGGAAGGCAAGCACGTTCAGCGCGTGTGTCCAAGTTTCCAACATTCTCTTTGATGCTTGGTTGGTTGGTTGGTTGGTTGGTTGGTTGGTTGTATTGTTTGCCAGACGTGACATTTGCGTCACTCACGGTGGGCAGGTTTCAAGTGCCTGGGTTTTGTAGGTTGATGAGGGTGATGCTTGGGTAATTTTGCGAAAGTGTACACATACTTCAAATTGTAGTTTGCAGTTGATAATTTCGTAATTCCTCATTTTACTAATAATTCATACACACTAAAAACGGGTACGTAGCCGTTACATCCCTAGTCACGTATACGACGCCTCTAAACTTCAGTTGGGCATACAGCTCACTGACGTTCAACAGACGCTACTAACTTTCACGAACGTCTTGATAGCAAAGTTGTGCAGCTTATTAAAATAGCTTAAGTAAGTGTAACTGACTGTAAAAAAAAATGTTATTGAGGTTTTCTTGGCCCTACTAAAAAACCTCGGTGTTTTTTTCTTTCTTTACCCTTTGATGCGTAGTTTAGCTAATTAATATCATATATCGCACCGTTTTCAAGCCTCTCGTAAAAGTTGGGGCCGTCAGCTGGATGTCTGTGCGCTGCACGGCGATTTGAATTTTAGGGTATCGTAAATGTGACAAGAGGTGTAAGGGCAACACCCTTTTTAGAGTGTATTCACCAACTGAAGATTTAGTTGTAAGTGATCGTGGCGTGTTGTACCTGGTTCTAGAATTCAATACAAAAAAAAATCCCTGGTCCTAACCACATCTCTAACGTTTTTGTAGGCGGATATTCTCTTTGGAGCAGTCGTTACCTGACGAAACGTTTTCAGAAATCGCTGTCCACCTCCACAGTACCTTCTTCATGGAAACTTACTAAATTCCCAAAATTTTGTGTTTTAAATTTGGGAACACTGAGACGTTGTGTAACTATCTACCAATTTCTGTAGCACCTCATGTTTGCTAATTATTAGGACCTATTATCTACAAACATATCACGAAATATCTACAAACAAATATCGTATCTGATTTACAGCATGGAGTTCGACGGGGGTACAGTACCATTCAACAACTATCTTAATTTACTTACGACATCACTTAGTCTCTTGACATTGGTAACCAAGTGGACGCAATCTTCATAGACAAATGCAATCTCTGCGATACGGTTCCTCACTCTAAACTTTTGCGCAAGCTCAAAGTCATACTAAACAATCATACCCTTTTTAATTGGATCGATGCTTTACTTTTAATCGCTTCACAGTGTGCATGTTTTAACTCGTCCAAGTATTCTATTAATGATGCTTCGTCGGGTCTCCCGCTAGGGTCAGTTTTTGGTCCGCTTCTTTTTTTTGCGATAATTTTAATGATGTGCCTCGTAACATCCTCACCAAAAACACGTCTCTACGCTGATGACTGCCTTCTGTATAACACGATTAACTCCCTCGGTGATCATACTTTTCTTTACAATTATTTTTTTTAAGCTTCTGCACGTGGTGTGGCACCTGGTAAATGGGTATACATTTTTCTAAGAACGTACTCCTGTCTTCTTCTAAGAGTTCATCTCCTTCCTTGTTCACTAATTCATTTAACGATCCCTCCATGCAAAGACTATTTTACCGCAAGTACATTGGACTTCACTTCACACACGAGATGTCATGGTCTAAATATTGACTTAACATGTCGCAAGGCACTAAAAAACTCGGTTACCTGAGGCGTACTTTACGTGTTGACAGCGAGGTACTACACTTCCAACATATGAAACACTATTCCGGTCTATCACCGATTACGCTTCAATCGTTTGGAATTCCTATAAGCAATCAGATATTAACAAAGCTCGAGTCATTCGAGACGAAAGCAGTACTTTTCATGTTTGGCCGCTATGATATCAAGGTCTCACCCTACCACATTACGCCTGAGTCTCCTTTCTGAGCGTCGTCGCATCGAATGTGTTAAGTTCCAATACGTTTTAAATTACTCAATACGTCTCACCTCATTAAGTTAGTATCTACACTTTTCCAATGCGACATCTAAAAGGCGCAACCACGACTTACATTTTTCAACCTTTTTTTTTGCGCGTACAGTTATGCTCAAAATCAACTTCTTTACCCCCACTATTAAAATTTGAAACTCAATACACGGAAGCATCTGGGGGAGTGCTATGACCAAGCCTTCAATAGCATTATATATATATATTTTTTTTTTTTCAAACGCTTCGATCAGCTGAAGTCATCGCCTGGCGCCCTTGAGTTCTTGCGCCATGAGCACGTGCCTATTTCATATATGTCACCTTCTTTGTTGTTCCCTTCTCAGTGCAATATTTAGTTGTAAGTTCAGCGTCTGCCCTGCCTTCTGTATTCTTCTACGGTTGTATAAGTGTTTTCGTTGATTTTAGCCATGTTTAATGCTTACGCACTGGTCTCGCACTCCACCCTTCCACAGAGAAATGCGGACTCACTGAGCTCTGGACGCTTACGCAGTGTCTGATGAACCGCACAACAGGGCTAAAGCGGATGCTCAGACGGCAATCCACAGCCCAGCCGACAAAAATTGCAGCGCGCAAAAAGATTCTTTTAAGCATTCCGATATTCTTTTTTTTTTTTTTTTTTTCAGGCCACTTCATGACTGTTCAGTACATCGGCCACCCGGGACTCGTCGAACACGCCTTTCCTGTCGCTCGGCTCACTTCGCCGGTTTTCCGGCCCCTGACTTTCAAGGCTTGCTTTCGCTTCTGGTACAAGCTGCCCTGCAGTCTCTGTGAGTACAGACATGTAGAGTAATCAGATGTAGAGTAAATGCATACAGAGTAAACTCTCGTAAATGCGAAATTGCCACAGACGGTGCTGCGTTGACGCGGATACATCGAGGGGTAGGGTTGTCGAGCTTTCCCCACTTTTGGACTTCTGGGTTCTTCGGTAGATTTTCATCTTCCCCAAATAATTTTTTGTTGCCACATTGGTGTTGTTATGGATGATCGCTGCCAGCTCATCGTCTTAGACGCACTTCAAGATTGTGAAGGAGCAAATATTGAAGATATCTCTTTCGACGTATGGCCGCCCAAAGCACGAGACAGATAAGCGGTGTTCTGAAAGCGTGCTATGGGAACGGTTTCGGCCTGCCGGCCTTTCCCGTGTTACAAATATGGCACACGCCAGGCTGTCCCGATTCCACTGCGTTGGCGTGACTGCAGAGCCACGCGTAGCCCAGTTGGTCGACTCGCAATCGCTCGCTTGGGCTAATATGTTTTAATGTCAACGGTACGTCGTTGAAGCATGTTTTACACGGCCAGTAAGGGTTCCACAACGTGTCCCTGCCACATCAAAACGCAAGGAGGGAAACGCCAATTAAGGGACAACACAGGTAACGCCGTCGCCTCCTATATCATCATCATCATTTATTAAAACCTTGAAGGCCATTGCTGGCATTACACAAGGTGGGTGTAACTGCTGAAGAAACATATAAAGGAACAAACAAAAAAGTGGGTTACATGCTGGAAAACATTGTTATATAAAGCAGCAAAAACAGAAGAGAAAAAGCAAAAAACACTTAAAGATTTTTAGGGAAAAACAGCTGATGAAACAGAAAAATACCCAAATAAAACATTTCTATAAACACGAGTTGACTTTGCTATTAGTGTAAATGCAGATGGATGGTCAGTTGGGATATGAAAGTATTATAATCTGTCTGGGTCACGATACTGTTAGGCAGGCTATTCCAGTCCGTTATTGTGAATGGCAAGGTGGAGTAAAGAAACGAAACTGACGATGCGAAAATTGGACGAACTTTACAGACGTTATCAATGCGGGGAAATATACGAGTGGCTGGGGATAATTGTGAAGTTCTGATGTCATGGTTATGATAGTAAATCTTGTGAAAAAGAGACAGGCGTGATAATTTCCTTCTGGTTGAGAGGAGATCAAGGTTAGCTTTCATTCGTAAAGAAGTGATGCTGGTGTCTCGTGAGTAATCTGAAAAAATGAATCTGATTGCGCGATTTTGAAGTGCCTCTATCTTTGTTATCAATGAACATTGCCAAGGGGACCAGATGGGTGACGCGTATTCAAGTTGCGATCTTACGAGTGTAGTGTAGGCTAGTTGTTTAACTGATGATGGTGCTAGTTTCAGATTCCGTCGAAGATACCCAAGAGGGCGGTTAGCATTAGACAGGACGTGTGTTATGTGCGTGTTCCATGAGAGATCGTCAGATAAGTGAACACCCAGATATTTGTAAAATGGACACTTGGTAATTACCTGGCTGCACATGGTGTAAGTGAAAGAGAGAGGACTATGAGCACGCGTGAAGGAAACGAGATTTGTTTTAGAAAAGTTAATTGTCATTTTCCACTGTTTACACCAGTCGGCTATTAGGTTAAGGTCAGCTTGTAGGGTTATGCTATCGTTCAGGTTAGATACAGATCGGTAAATTACGCAGTCATCAGCAAAAAGTCGAATACAGGATGTTATGCGATCTGGTAGGTCATTTACAAATGTTAAAAAAAGCAGAGGTCCGAGAACACTCCCCTGGGGGACTCCGGGTGACACAGGAGAATAAGCTGACAACTGGTTGTTAATAACAGAATGCTGAGTACGATTGGTTAAAAATTGTCCTATCCATGATGTTACGAGTGGATGAATGTGAAGTTGGTTTATCTTGAGCATGAGTAAACTGTGGGAAACCTTATCGAATGCTTTAGAAAAATCAACGAATATGGCGTCTGTCTGTATGTTATTATCGATGTTACTGTGTATTTCATGAACAAGTTGTACAAGTTGCGTTTCGCAAGAATATGATTGTCTGAACCCGTGTTGGTTTGGAAAGAGGATGGGGTTATTTTCGAAATGCTTCATGACATTTGAATATATTATGTGCTCAAGTAGCTTGCAGGGACACTGGTTAGAGATATAGGACGATAATTTGATGGTGAAGTTCGATCCCCCGATTTGGGTATGGGGACCACTCTGCCAATTTTCCAATCTGTAGGAAGCTCGCCGGAAGACAAAGATTGTTAGAAGATTATTAACAAAAAACGAGCTGAGTGTAATTTAGTGTTTTTCAGTAATTTGGAATTAATTTTGTCGTCCCCAGAGCTCGACGACAACTGTAACCTTTCTATAGAGCTTATGATACCTGCATACGTTATTTCAATGGCAGCCATGGGAGTGTGATATGCTTTGTTAAGATGAGGCATGCTACTGTGGTCATCTGTGGTGAAGACTGAGGTGAAATAGTCGTTAAGACAGTTAGCGCTTTCTTCATCCGATAATGGCAACCGATCATCGCTCATTAGTTGTACAGGTCTAGACGTTTTTGGATTAATTACCTCCCAGAACTTCTTAGGTTTATTGCGAAGAATGTTTACTAAGTCATTGTTAAAGAATTTTGCCTTCGCCTCTGTAATAGATTTCTTATAAATTTTAGCAATATCATTGTACTGTTTCCAAGCGAGATCGGTAGTCAGTTGTTTGGCGCGGCTAAATAGTCGTTTCTTTTTTCTGTTTAGTTGGTTAAGCGTTTTTGTGAACCAGGGATTTGATTTGTCGCAAGTTATGTTTATTGATGGGATGTAAGTGTCGGCAAGGTATGCAAGTTTATTCCTGAAGAGAATCCAGTTTTCATCAACTGTCCTGCTCATACAGCCATGCTGAAAACTATCGAAAAATATTTCAAGCTCATTGTTAATTGCGGTGTAATTAGCTTTATTATAGTCTTTAATGGTTTTAAAATATGGTGATTTCCGCTGAGTTTCAAATTCAATGTTGAAATGAATTACGTTATGGTCACTAATGGGTGGGTGGTATGTTATATTTTTAACAAGTGTAGTGTCAGTAGTGAGGCATAGATCTAAAATATGACTTGTTCTTTGGGTTGATCTGGTAGGTTGAGTAATCAGTTGCGATAGATTAAATGTGAGACATGTGTCTACGAGTTCTCCTAAAATATGAGTCGAGAACGAAAGAGTATCCCAAATGATGTCAGGACAATTGAAGTCGCCTAAGGGAATGCATGATCCGTTTCGGGATTGGTTGAAGATGAAAGAGAGCGCGTCATGAATCTTATCAAAAAAACCATTAACAAAGTCGGGCGGTCTATAGCACACCCCAAGGAAGATACACGCGGAGGGGGAATGCAGCCGTAGCCATACCATCTCAAGGCAAGTAGGAATTTGAACAAAAGAAACTACAATATGATTCCGTACAGCAATTAGTACTCCACCCCCACGTCGGAACTCTCTATCACACCTATAAATATTGTAATTAAAATTCGTGGGAAACACTTCAGAGTCTTTTATGTCAGGTCTTAGCCATGTTTCCGTTAGGAAAACAAAGTCGGCAGCACAAGAGTCAGTTAATAAATGAAGGTCTTCACGCTTTGGCAGTATACTTCTTATGTTAGTGTAAAGTACAGAAAAAGAACTTTTTTTTTTAATCTGGGGGCACTGGGGTGAGTCTCGATCACACAGATGTTATGGATGCTTGTCTTCCACAACCCTCTTGCTTTCAGGGTCATAAATAAAAATCTGCGCTCCGATCGAAAGTTTGTTAAATTTTAGTTTAAACGGTTTATTTTGGGGCCTGGCAAACTGTAGGAGTTCTCGACGAGCTTCACGCACGGCAGGAGAAAAGTCTTCGCCTACAGAAAACGTGGTACCCTTGAATTTGTAAGCTTTCCCTAGTATTAGGTCCTTTTGCTTTGTTGCGCAAAACTTCACAATGATAGGGCGTTCGACCGATCCTGTGGGCGCGTTCACTGATACCAGGTTCTAATGGTAAACCAAGTTGCGCAGAGCAGATATCGAGAACAAGCTTTTCTGACTCAGCCCAGGTCTCCCCCTCTTTGTCTGATGATCCATAAAATAGCAAGTTTGAGCGCCGCTGTCTGTTCTCGCTATCCTCGCAACGCGTCCCCAGAACAGTCAACTCACGCCTGACGTTTGACAGTGCTTGAGTAGCTGCGGTAATTTCTTCTTTTACATCCGGTATGACAGTCTGGTGTGTCTCAAGGGCTGCCACCCTAGCTGATACTGATGCAACAATAGCGTCACTTTTGTTTAGGTCTTCTCGAAGTTGTTTTAGAGTGACAAGCACTTCAGCCTGACCTTTCTCGAGGCCTTGAACACTGGACACTACAAGATTTAGTTGCTTTTCTTGTTCTTTTGACATTGGTCCAGGATTTTCCTCGATGTCACCGGAAAGGAGTAGCTGTAGAGCTCTAATCTTCTGAGTTACAAAGCAATGGACAGAAACAATGAATGTGTACGCTTGGGTCGGGCACGACACCGCAATCAAAAATGGGTTATCGTCTTTGTAACATTCGAGGTGTGATGAACCAACCTGAAGTAGAGGGAACCGTAAGGCCAGCATTCCAATGGCGGTGTCGTGCCTCGAATGACGGTTTGGTGGAAGCCAGTCAAGCGGTCCCGCGCCTCTTATCGATGACCATGGTTGCACGCTCAAAAGCGAGTGGACGTCCGTTCCTGGCGAAATGGCCGCCGCGAAGAAGGCTGGCTGGTAGGTGCTCGTCTTGTTCAGCGCTTCGGGCTCCGGAGTGTATCCGTCGATGGTAGTCGTCGTTCCTCGTAGTGCCCTCGGCGCCGTTGACAGCAAGGTGGACAGCAAGGTGGTCTGGAACACCTGAAGTAGAGGGAACCGTAAGGCCAGCATTCCAATGGCGGTGTCGTGGCCACTTCCCGGCAAAGCCTGGGAAGTGGCCACGAGAAGCGGCCGCCGAAATAGAAAAGGCGGAGCGCCATACAGCG